CCTTCGACACAGTTTTCTTCTCTAACCGATACTAATTTCCCTACGGCTTAAGTCGATAGTGTTCCACATAAATGCCTATGACAAGTAGGTATGTAATCAGACTGTTCGAAATTTGTTGCGCAAATATGTTGCAAGACTCAGACAAATGTCATCATAAAAACTAATAATTGTTACGAGAATTGAAGAAAAAACTTTTATCTATTACTAAAAGGCTAAATGAAATTATTAACCTCAGGTGTAAAGTTGGCAATATTACTATGGGATGGATTGAAGTCACACAGCATACTAGCGAATTCTCCAAGTGGGACATTAGTAAACAGTGGGGAAACATCCAGGATAACAACCGTCTTCCGCCAAAGATTGATATCCTTGATTCGACTGGAAAACTGAAATGCGTCGCGCACGTTATATTTCAGAGTTCTACTCTTGGCTAGTTCAGGTATCACAGCTAGCCACTTTGCGATTGGATATCAAGGGAGAATTATTGCTACCTGAACAGTACAGGTCACCTTGCTAACAAACTTCAAAGCACAAACAAAATATATAGAAAAACATATAACAAAACTTATTCCTCACTGGAATCGGGAGGACCAAATGATGCCGGTTGATCAAAGACTTCGGGAAACCAATTGGCCGATGTGTCTTCTCTCTATCTCAATGAAAGCAAAAGTAAACATGGGGACATGGAATGGCTACACAATGTCTGAACCCAGCAAGGCAGCACAGATTATAAAAGAGATGAGAAGATATAACATAGAAGTGCTAGGCTGGGAATCTGCGGAAGCAGATGGAATGGAAGTGGACTCCACAAACTATCAACTGGAGAGTCAATAATCTACTCCGATATTGTCACCCACACAACAACCACGAGCACATTGAGTTTTCGAGTGGATATCATGATGTCCACAACAGCATCAAAGGCTCTCTCTCATGCAGTGGAAACCAATCTCCTCCCCTGCAGAATCAGGATCATGACACCAAGGTTCAACTCAAAAGGAAGGAAAGTCACAATCATACAATGCTACGCTACCCTACGCTACGCATCTACAAATAATGCAGATGAAGAGAAGAAGGAGGAATTATACAGACAACTGCAATCAGTACTGGACAAGATCCCACACCAGATGGTGACATCAAAATTCTAGTCGGTGCAGTGACATCAATCCCAAACTGTGAGCAGACAACACAGGAAGAGAACTCATCCATCATGGGTCGAGAAACACTCGGGGAAACAATGAATTCGAATGGAGAACTGTTTGCAGATCTCTGAGCATTCAATGACTTGGTGATTCGAGACAGTTGTACAAACACACACAAGGATATTCACAAAGCGAGCGACATGCATTTGATTCCACCAGATGGACACACTACACTAAATACCAATCGCATTCATCTCAATCTCAAGAAAGTGGAGACGTAGTCAGCTACTAGACACAAGACAATATCAGATCAAGAAGGAGAACACATGTAGGTTCACATCACTCACTATCTACTACAAGGAACCTGCATTCAAAATCAAATTGAAAGCCTTCACAAAAATTGGTGAAAGACCACGGTTCAAGTTCAACACCCAGAACAGAAACTGAACTGAAGGACGAAACCACAAATAACATCTTCACGTCAACCATCACGAAGCAATGCGAGACACTAAGCAACAGCCCTGAAGAAACCTCCGTAAAAGAACGCACTGCAACTCTTTGGAAGAGACGTGGAAGGAAACCTGTATAACCATGTTAGCAAGGAGGAAGAAACAAGACAAGGAATGGATCCCGATGGACACATGGAAGATCATACAGGTGGTGAAGCAGAAGATCAACTAGTGCAGTGCAGTGCAGTGCAGTGTGTGGATGAACAACGAGAAGACGAACTGAGTACAATGTATAAAACACTACATTGGACAAAGAAGTGAAGGAGAGTGCGCACAAACACAAAACACACCTCAACAACACACTTGCAAGTGAAGCAGAACAAGATGCTGCAGGTAGGAGAGACAGAGACCTGACAACACTATATCAACCACGTTACTATCCGGAATGGAAGAGATCAACACAGACGAAATCAATGAAACATAGTGAAGAAAACCTAGTTAACACCAAAGAAGAGAAACAAAGGAAACGATGCGCTGACCACTTCAAATAACTCTTGAATCGACCACAACCACCACCATTTGCAACTCGTCAAGAAATACCATCAGCATACCAACCACACAACTACCAGTGAACACAGGCCCTCCAACAAAAGCAGAAGTGGAATCCTGAACGCCATCAACTTACTGAAAACCGGGAAAGCAGTAGGACCACATGAAATTCCCCCAGAAGTACTGAAAACACATGCAGAAACAACTGCAGAGACGCACACACCACTATTGCACTAGGTTTGCAAGCAAGGAAAGGTACCTGTCAGTTGATTGCAAGAACGGCTACCTTGTCAAACAAGGCCAAACAAGGCAGACCTAAGTCTTTGCAAGAACTGGTGCACAATCATGCTCCACCCCACCCCCACCTGTCCACTCACAGCGAGCAAAATATTAAGCCGCATCATCCTGAAAACACTAAAATATGCACTGGATTCTAAATTACCACCGAAACAGACTGGCCAACCAAATTGCAACGCCACTCTACGCATCAGCATAGAACAGACCATAGAATGCCAGTCAACACAACACAACTCAACATCAACCTCAACCTCAACTTCATCAACTTTGATAAGGCCTTCGATTGCATCGGCCGAGAAGTAATTTGGCAGGCAGCTGTTTCAACACTACGGTTTCAGTGCCACAAACACTTATCAACCTCATTCAACAGCCATATGCTATATGATGCTACATCCCAGGTGATTCACATAGCAATGCAAAACTCAGTGGTGCCTTTGCAGTGAAGACAGGAGTAAGACAAGGTTGCCGCCTACTATCACCAACCATCTTCCTGATTGTAGTCTACTGGACTGGACTGGATCATGCAACAAACTGTGACGAGCGAGAAGATAGACATACACTGTTTGACCTATGAAAAGACCCTAGAAGATTTGGATTTCGCCGCCGATGATGATTTATGTCTAATATCTTGTCACACAAACTCGAAGATCTACAGGCGAAAACCAACAAGTTGACAGAAGAGGCGAAGTAGTGAAGACGGTACTTCAAGTGAATGTAGAGAAGACAGAGGTGATGAAGATACCCAAGCAACAACAGAATCAACAACAATGGGCACCAATCACCATCAACGGGAGTTGTCATAAGAATAAGCAACAAGAAACTCACTGTGGCTGGCAACAAACCAACGAAGCAAGAACCCATCGCCCAACAAATATCCAGAAGTAAGTGGAGATGGATTGGACATACACTGAGAAAACCAATCGGAGACATCACGCGTCAGGCTCTCGAGTGGAATCCAAGGGGGAAACGACCAGTTGGGCATCCGGTGACATGGAGGAGATGGTGTGAGGAAGAAATGAAAGCTTGTGGGCAGTTGTGGAGGCAGGTTAAGAGAGAGTGAAATGGTGATGTGCTACTGAAGCCCTATGTTTCACTAGGAACCGAAGGAAAAAATAATAATAATATTACACGGTATCGGATGGTGAGGGACATCTTTGTGCCTTTTCGATAGACTAAACTGTCAAGTGATAGATGAACCCAGTCTGTAAAGTTGTTCGTACAGTTTAGTGTTAATAATCCTTCATCTTCAGTGTTGTTAACAATTGAATCTGTCTTTTTAGAAGTTTTTTTCTGATTTGTTCTGAAAATTTTCTTCCATGTGATAAAATGACTGAAAGTTTATCCATGTAGTGGAGTTCGTTCTGAAGCTCTATTCCAGTACATTAGACAGCCTGCCTCATGACTAAAAGCTTAGTTACCCCTGCAGATCCCTTTACTGATTCTCAAGTTTCTCTCAACAGATGTCGAACATTGAATGTTTTTCCATAATCCTTACAGCAACTGAAAACTGTTGATTCGAAATGGCCAAAAATCCAAGTGACTAAAATGGGACCCTAGCAACTGCTGAGATAGCCAATTACATGTCTTTATTTTATGAAGAACTATCTTTCTAGCCGAAATACTGAAACCTTACTGGTTGTTTTAACAGTTGTTAGGGTGGTCTTTAAGTCATTTTAAAATCCTTAGATGAAAGTGGAACTAAGTTTTTCGCTTGACAATCTCGAAATGGACTTTTTTGTTGAGCTGATCAATTCGTATTGTTTTTCGAAGTTTCCGGTTACGAGATAAGAGCTGCATTTCAATCGTGTCAATCCCAATTTTTAACACCAGCATCAGCAACAAGTGAAATAACTAGTTCGACTTCTTTATTTCACAAAGATCTGCATTTCCAACAGAAATAAAGAAACCTAATTGGATATTTCAGTCTTTGCTAGGGTGGCCCTTAGAGCAGTGACTTTAAAGGTCAATTCTGCAACTGATGAAATAACTAATCAAATTTTAGTATTTCGGCTAGGACACTAGTTTTTAACAGAATAAAGAACCGTAATTGGTTACCTCAAGAGTAGTAAGGATGAACCTTAAAAGTCACTCCTTTACAGTCGCTCTTTAAATTCACCCTTCATTCCAGTGGTTGCTAGGATAACCTTTAGAGTAATTCATTTAAACCCTGTCATATTGCTTATGAAAACCAAAGCTAACATCCATTCTATTGAATGTTTGAATGCAAAAAGGATACACTTATTTCCAGTACTACGATAAAAATGATTGATTTTAGTACATCTGGAAATGTACGAAAATGAGAATAATCACAGAAACACCTGTATGTGTGCATGAATGAGTGAAAAAATAAACAACAGAAAGAAAGATTAATAGATAGACAGAGAAGAAATTACGTGGAATCTAATGACAAAAAAGTGCGATTTATTAAAAACGCCACTTCTTACAAATCATATCAGTTAAATTAAACAAGATTTAACAATCACGAAAAATTTCATATATGAAGGCAAGTAGAAGAAAGAACTATGAGAACAAACAGCAGCAATAATAATAACAACAATAACAAAAATTAAATTTTACGTAATTCATCTTCCAGTGAATACATTTTCAATTTGAGAGTTTTCAACTCATTTAATATTTGATTAGATCGTGTTGTAGACGCTTTTACTTGTTTCAATAGAGTTAAATCAATATCCTTATTGTTCGTATTAATCGGTTCTGGTAGATTGATTCCATCAGTTAAGCCCAGAGTTAACTAAAATATGAATTGTTAAAAAGAAAGCAAATTTTACTTGAACCCGTATTGTTAGGCACTTGTATTAATAAATACAGAGAGGTTAGCTTTTTGAAAGGTATGTTTACTTTTTATATCGGCCGAAAAGTGGAAAACGTGGGTCGCAGACAAGTATTATTGGTCGCATTGTTTTACTTATTTTAGAAGTTAATGATTTATCTGGTAATATTACTGTATAGGTCGGTTCACGAGCTGTCGATCGACTCCTCACCTATTTCTGTACGACATATGGTTCGGAAATAACTGCATATTGAATTGTATCACTTATTGTGTATTATCTCATTTTCTGCGCCTAAAATTGCTTGTTTCAGTTTTACAAGTCCTTGTGCATTGTGTTCAAGAAATTTAGTTGTGAATATATGACTCAGATTGCCATAATATACGTACAATACGCACTAATTGGCTTTTGTGCCGCAATGGCCTAGTGGATAACGATTTGGCGTTTGAAGTGATTGGTACTGGGTTTGAGTATCAGTTGAAACAACACCACTCAATGAGGTGCAAGTATGTCCAGCTGATGAGTCTCAAATGGGACGACATGCACGTCCTAGATTTCACTGCTAGTCACCAAGAAGAATATAATATAGACTATTCTTTGCTGCGAGGGCCGAAATGAATGGTTCATCGTACAGTTGCATTGAGCGTGAGAGGCGAAGTAAGTAAATGCGAGAATAATCACGAGCAAGGTCAGCGTTAAGAGTGAACAGGCAGCATCATGTACATCAGGCAATTGAAACTAGGAGAAATACAAAAACGCTGACTTGGAGCTAGTGCTAGAACATATAAGTGGGATATTTTCATATTCTTATACCAGGGTTGCGTACAAACTACCAACTACATTCATACTTGACAGGAGGTGGCCAACAAAGGGATCCAAAAAGGGCTTTTTGCCCTAACTGCGACTTGTTTGCTGAATGCACCTGCATCCTAGTGAGTGATGATTTTCTCACCGATACACGGACCCAGAACCCATCGCTTCAAACACGAGAGAGTTGTCCTATAGAATGCTGAGCCATGACAGCCACCTCTCATGCAAAGAATATTAGTTACTATGCATTGATACTTGCATTTTCCCACTGACTGCCATACTAACTAAATAAGTAGTTACAGACTGAAAAACTCTTTGTTGCACACAAAGAAGAAAAGCATAATACATTACCAAGTATCTCCGTCACATTAAGCACCAATTTTCTACCTCCATTCTCGAAAAATTTACGTGACAATCTGTCAGGTCCTCGTGCTGTTGCTACTGTTACTTTGCATCGTTCCAAGTTACACACAGCTTTTTCAACTTCAAGGAGAGTTGAAGGACCAGCATCTACGCCCATTCAGATTCACGCTGGATGTCAGGTAACTGAAGCGTTGCTGAGGACCAGCTGAACTGTGCTTCAAAGTGTTCTCCTCAACGTTCTAGCCACCTGTCCTGAGAGGTTAGCAGCGTACCATTCTTTTCGATGGTGCTTTCACTTACCCTTGATAAGCTTAAACAGTTGCCGAGTGCTAGCCAACGCTGGTGCCTTCTCCACCTCTTGCTCACTATCGCCACATATCACTGCTCGCGATCAAAGCGGAGACTTTTCGTCAGCTTACGTTTCAGTTGCTTTTGCTCTTTGTTGTCGTTAGACCCAGTTGGAATCAGTCTTTTTGCATCAATCAATTCAGGTGACGTCGCCAAAGTCTAATGACGTTTGCTAACCTTAAGGTGCAGGTTACCAACTGCCATTACCGCTGTTTCGACTTAATATTAGGCCAGGTTTCCTCACGGTTTCCTGACTCGGGGCCAACATTTTCCACCCCACCCCTTCCTGCAGGTAAAGCAGCAGTAGAGTCCGGCTGTTGTACATCCAAGGAAAACACCTTACTTCTGTCACACCTCAACCAAACAGCACTACAACTTCGCCCTCATAGCCACTTCATAGAGTAGCAATTTACGTCATAATTGTAAATGTTTTTGTCTTACCACTATCCAACAGACCGTTCTGGTACGACCTCAAAGGAACAAGCATTTCAGCTAGTGTATCTCATCGGGTTGTTGTGATATAAAAGCCCAACCACCACTTTAAGGTAGTAGCTGTCCAGTCGCGTTATACTACTTGAAGTGAAAGTGAAACAAAGTTCCGATGAGAAGTTGTGACCGATGGGGCCGACGAAGTCGAATATGAGGACAATTATTCAACGACGACATTGGATAGAGGTAGAAGTATAATGTGAACTGACAGAAGCAGAAAATATGGACCGCTGGATTCCAACCAAGTGGCTCAATGGCAACGTGCTGGTCACGGAACCTGAAGGTCCTGATTTCCATCCCTGGCGAAATCGTCGGTGCACACTGCTGGGGAGTGAAATAGGGCGAAACAGTGCTCCCAAATTTTCAGTGTTTCTCCAATTGATGTCAGTCCATGATGAATACGAACCCGAAACCAATAAATAAATCCCCAGAAACCTCAAAATTGAATATTCCTTTTTGTTGATAACTCTGATAAAAAATTGTTATAGATAAGTAGAAATTCAGTAATTTATTGTCAGGTTTTCACCAGATTTTCAAGACATGATTCAGTACTTCTATTCGTCTCAAGCAGCCTTACAGACACTTAGCATTTCATATTCTGTGTTATGATCGAGTACTGGATACATAAGATGGCATAAGTTTGAGGCATATCAAACTGGTAGTTATTAGAAAGGTACATAATAGAAAATGCATATCTATCTTTCGGCGATCAAATAGAGACTGAAATGACTACATGACTGTCATAACATAACCTGTAATAACCACTACATTGCAATTATCTCGCATGAAACGGAAGCTGATAACTTAATTAAGCTTTGTGAAAACCGTACTAGTTAGTTAAAACTACAACAGCAATACACCTTAATGTTTGAATCATACTTATAGATCGCTATTTCTCTGCGTACTGCAAAGCAGTCCGGTCTGTTCAACTGTATGGCTGTGAAACATGGCCATTGAAGGTGGAAGACATGAGAAGGCTTCCTCATGTGTTTGACCACCGTTACGTACGTAGTAAAAACCGTTATCCATGGTGTCACCATGTGAGTAATGCAGAAGTCAGGTGGAGAGTTTTAGGGAGAAGAGGTAAATCAGTTGACACGGTTGTGAACCTTCACTGACTGAGATGGTTGGGACACGTGTTACGTATGCCTAGTCACCGATTGCCCCGTCACACAATGCTAGCCGAAGTAGGCTCAAGCTGGAGAAAGGCCTGTGGCGGCCTGACTAAAACATGACATCAATGTATGAAGTCTCTGACTACTGGTTTGAGCCATGTGGGGTGATGTAGACTTTGACTGAATTTTCTCTTCTTCATCCTCCACTTCACTGCCTTTTTACTTGGTGTAGTGATATAAGCTGTGGCAACTCGGATCATTACGCAGTAATACCTGGTCCTATGTTGATGGATGGTGATGATGATGCATAATTAGATTCTGTTCAGATATTTCCCCATGAGCAAGGGAGAGAAGATGATTAACTGATAATACCTTAAAGTGGGTGAATAAAAGGTGTTGAAAACGACTACACTTCGAGTGCTCTCAACTAGATATGATAAGTATAATCAATAACCACAAGCGACCCCAACTGATGCCCATCTTTACAACTGAATAACTTCAGTGGCTGAAACACTAGTTTACTGCCATTATATTTCGAGTATGTCTCTAGTTGAGTACTTGCATAACACTGAAATGATGAACATTATTGATTCACTGATAATGGATAATTTGAACTCCTAGTTATTATGCAATTAAAGTATGACAATTTCATACATTAAGAGGCTACCAACAAGAAAATACAACAAATATGGGTTTTTCTATACTAAGAAGATCCTACCTTTAATAACTGTCGTTCAACCTCTTTTAATTTTTTGCGCAATACACTAATATCCGTGCGATAACCTTCCATTTCTAATTGACGTCTACGCTCCAAATTTGATAACGTTGTGACATAACCTTTACACGTTCATGCAGTTTATGCGCTTGCTCTTTGAACAGATCCTTGGACATAACGCCTTCCTCACGTACTCGCATTAGTTCCTCTTCTAGTTGGATAACCTGAAAGGTGATAGTAGTTATGGTAGTAAACAGGTCTGAAAAATACCAAGAGGACACAATTACGTAATAACAGCAAAGGAGTAAGATACTATGCCTCCCGCATAAATTGTTTATAGCTTTCAATGGTCAAAATAGCCCCATTAGATAATGAAAACATTAATAAAAGAAAATCCAAGGAAAATTTTCTTTTTCACAAGTCATTTTCAAAACCTGTACACCATAATCATAATTACAACAAAATCTGTATCCATCAATAACTAATGAGTCAATACAGCCATCAAAACTGTCGTCAAACTCACAAGGTGATAACGGTTAGAAAGTCAAATTAAGGTCATCAAAAATTGTTTAGAGGACCATAAGCAATTAAACAAAGAAGTGAATAAACTGTCTCAGGGAGATTATGACCAAGACAAAATTACAGATTGAATATATCATTCCTGAACACAAAGGTCTGTCTTGTAATGCTGGACTGGCACAGCCTCTGTTGTACTGAGATGGCGAATACATACTCCCTTCGAAATGTTTGTCTTCCCTTCATAAATGACTTTGAAAGAAGACTCTTGTGGAGCTCAGTGACCAGAGATAACCAAATTATCAAGAACCGAACTGCTGACGGCTTTATACTGCCTTTTAGACAGATATACAAAATGGTGTTCGAAGATGCGTTTGTATAGAACACGTTTGTGAGACGTATGTAACCAGCTCGACAAAAGCAGGTGAATTGGCAAGGACAAATGGCGATGGCTCAAAGCCATATTTTATCCTTTACATACCCTCGAATCAATTGTTGACTGGAGAACATAATGCGAGACTGAGTGGGAAAGGTCTTCTTCAGTGTTTTGCACAATCGCTTCTTTGGTATCTCTGCTGATGTATCTGGCTTGAATCGAATATTCACAAACAATGTGTTTTTTGGAACAGTAGGGGCTTCTTCTTTGAGCACGTGAATTAGTAAACATACATGACATTTACTTAAAATGAAGAGAAATATTTCTAGTAAAAATAAATTAGATCACAAGCAATACATGAATTCACTGACCCCATCAAACGCTGTCCTAACTGTCTAACAAAAATAAGTGATGTAATTACTTATACGAACTAAAATCGATATCACCCAACTTGTACAACAGATGTTCATTCATAGCCCAATAAACTAACTGGTACGAAATAAACACCATAACACTAGGAACAATTGTGTATCGTTCCAAATTGCCATACTTCACATAAGCACATCTAGTTGAAAGTCAACAAAACGAAAGATGAAGAAACGCAAGTACTTTCAACTGTAGGAGTTGTGAAATAAAACTTTTGCAACTATAGGATCTTCGTCTGATTATCACAGTTTACCAAATAAACCTCTAAATGGTTTCACGGTTGAGTCTGTTTTTGAATGAAACAGTTGGAAAATGATTCCCTTCAAACCACGTAGTCTGAAATGAGTGAGAGTTTTCAATGAATACGAATCAAGTGGCAAAACACTCACCTACTCACACCTTATTAGGACTGCGGATATTTTGATTTTCAATCAATGTAATTCATCAGTAGTTATAGACTAACATCTGTGTACGAAGGAGTCATGGTAAGCTTAAGGTAAACTTAGTTGTTATGATTACATACAAAGTTCTTCAATAGTAGCACAGTAGTGAACAATGAACCTGAGAAACGACTAAACTGGATACTGATTATTGGGGTAAAGAAGAGGATAGAAAACATCTAGCCTAAGCAATCAGGTGAAATTCTTTAGTAACGCTTGGAATTCAAAACTTCCAGAGTATTTCCCTCAATGAGGCAGAACACTTTCTCGGAAGTTTACAAGAGGCACAAAATATGCACAAACTATTCTATCAGTTATATCTTCAGTTTATTTCATTATTCATTTTTCTTATGAATTTTTTGTTTATAATTAGAAGAAATCCTTTCGATTACCACCAACCAACACCTTTCAAAGTGTACCGCGATAGTCAAACTCCTAACATAGTGGTCACATTGCATGCTCTCCAGTGACTAAGTGATTTACGAAATTACTGTTTATCAATAAGTATTGGTCATGATGTAGAGCAGTGGCTCACTGGCTTAAGCGCCCGACCTTCTAGAGATAGGTATGTGGCTTGAAGCTCACTTCACAAAGCTTCAACCCAGGTAACCAGATAGTATCATGTGTCTTCATACAATGTTTGACCAATAGCCTATTGGGTAAAACATCTACAGGGTTGAGTTACATTATTATTATTCATCACGGTTGGCGACTTAGCTGGGTGTTGTAAATACTGAAATCAGATGATTTATTAGTTTAGATTCACTGTAAAAAGTAATATTATTTACATATATTATAGTAAAAGTGTGACAGTAGTTTTTGCTTCCAGTCGATGCAAATGATTTCATTTTGTGACCATAGTGATAAGAAATGAATGGTGACGATTAGCTTTTGCAATGTGTACAACTATAACATTGACTCTTCGGCAGATTGAAAAGTCGCATTTGTACTTCCATGACAAAATACACATTTACGAACGGCCCAAGCAATCAATGAAGATAATCATAAGAAGAGCTTTCACACTTGGAATTTTTATATCCTCAAATTTATAGGCATTAAGGCTATAATTTTGAAAGTTGAGAAAACTACTTTTAGTGTACAGAATTGTCGTTTCTATTTCTACAGTCAAACAACTATGTGTGAAGTAAATCGGAATTTTGGAAGTGATTAAAAACGGTAGCAGATTTCATACGCAAAGCGTAGGAACGAAGGAATATAGAGCAATACTATTTCATCAGCTTCTTACATTATAAAGATGATCAAAACAAGTGGTTATAGCAAAGGGTTGTCGAAATGTATGACTTCAGGTAATGGCAATGAGATTTGTTATCTATGGGTAATGTGGTGGTGAGAATAGACTACAGATGAAATAAATTTATTTCAATATGAATACTGGTTCACCATCAGAGCATAAATCAGTGTTCACCTGAAAATTACACAGCAGCGCTACAATTTGAAAACCGAGATTGTATCAATAATTTATTACACTGATGTGTATACAAAAAGGAATTCTTGTCGCATTGAAAATAACCTTCCAGAATCCGTACTTATAATTTACAAAGTTACGGAAAATATTTTTATTTTCGAAACAACGACACCAAAAAATTACTTGATCTCTGTACATATCAGACAACTTTTGCTGTTGATCCAATTGATTTTCCAAGTTCTGAATTGTTTTTTCTAACTGGACCTGTTTTTGTTGATTTACTTCAGCCCATGCACGAGATTCTAGGTTTTGAATATTATTCAAGAGATCTGTTGAATTGGCATGAATATCATTTATCCTATCAACAAGTGAATTACAGGTATTACGTCCATCAGTTTTCAGGTTAGCTTGATGAAAAAGAATGATGACAGAGGGGAAAAACGCAATGATTAACTTAACGTACACGGTATATGTGGATTTCAGTAAACCCTAAGCCATTTGCAAATGTGTATTCACCATTCCTGCAGAGTACTCACCAACTTCGTAAACATTCTTACAGTAGGTGACCAGCCACACCAATTTTATGAAGGCTAGTGATACTACCTAGTTGCCTAAACCTCAGTAGTTGGAGCGGGATTCAGATCCGTGACCCACTGCTTGATATCTATCTCCCCAAACCACTGAACCACAATTTCACCCATTATCCTAGGGTTAGTCTTAGCTCATAATCTTAACATCAAACTGTTAGGCAAAGACGATAAGTATAGAAGCTTCAAAGTTGACCATTTCATATAGGTTTGCCTACTATGAGTCAGAATAACTAACCAATGGAAGGATAAAATACACCAATTTTGGCTAAGATATGATCAGATATACGTCTAAGAAGAATAAAACACATCAGATGAAGAAAACTGTATTGGTTAGGAGGTGACCTAAATAGAAACCAACATTTTAAGTCATCGGCCGCTAAGGTAGTAATTTTGCATTCTAACTTTTGTCTCATATGTTTCTGTGGGGTCAGGAAAAACACTATTGGACAATTTATCCTTCAGCTGACCAATCGAAATAAATATCCAGCTTTCGACCTTGTGGTTTTATATGTTCATGCCGAATAAATTGTTTTCCTTACAATCACGGGCCGGTCTTTGTCCTCTGGTTTTTGCAGCTCAGTGAAGTATCAGGTTCTGAGAGAGAATAGTACATTATTCGTGTCCAGTTCAAAAGTTTTGTCGCGTATTTATTACTATTAACCCGGTGTTATCACTTCAGCACTGAAAAGGGTGATTTTTGTGAATCTGTACTTGATTAGCTACTGATATCAAGAAAAAGATTTCCAAGTAAGCAATCAAAAAATTTTCTGAACCAAATTTGAGGTGATTATTCTGGTATCATTCAAAATTCTGTAACAATTCTGTTAACGCTATGTGTGCATACCATTCAACCTATTTTTATGCAGCTAGATATCTCCACCATTTGATTAGTGTTTTTCCCAGATATGCTTAAGAAACAGATGCTATCTAGAAAAATGTATTGATCACCGATGTACAATAAACACATCACAGACTGTCTTTATCCCCTCTGCATAATTGAGGTATAACTCAAAGATCTGAATTACTTGAGGACAAAAAACTTGTTCAATCACCATTATTTAAGTTTTACAATCGGCTGCGATTAGTTTTGTGTTCACTACACTTTCAATTGTACAATTCAAGATAAAATAGGATACTCATTTTGTTTTAGTTGTTGAGAATGCTGAAAATTCCTTGTAAGCATGATGGTAATTACAAAGTGTTTGATGACAACTAATGTAACTCAACCTGAAATGGGTGCTTATGAACTGGACAATGGGCTATACTTGTTGTAGTAGGAGTTTATGACATTGATTGGATGACCAAGTCGACGTAGTTATTTGTATAGTCTCTCAAGACGGTTAAAATCGACGTAAGTGCTTCTCCCTACCTGTCAACTTACATATGTATCTAATCAAACCTATTCTTTACTTAGCATGAATATTCTTTTTACCTACTAAATTAATACTATCAGTAGACTTAATGGTCCAGACAGTGGCTAAAACAAGCATTTCAAATTTGTTATTTATTTTATGCTGTGTTGCAGGAGTGAAGTTCAGGACGCATATTCAGCACAATCTCCTCGAATAATGTCAAGGCACTCCAATAAAGAGCCCATATACCACTAAATACCAATCAATTCAGTCGAGAATGAGAAACAACGCTAAACTACAAAGTTTCTAATAGTAAATTAATCGTCTTGGAATGTTCGATTCGTAATCACTAGTAAAAACTGACAACATGTAAAAGTGTGAAGTAAACAAGTAGAAGTTATAACTCAGTACAAATGATATGACTTACATAGAGTCGATGCAGTAGCAGCAGTAGCATTTGATTTTTTTGTACTAATCTGACTTAAAAGTTTGTCTTTTTCTGCAATCCAAACTTTTTCAGCCTGACGAAATTGATTCCTTTGTGCCAAGAATTCTTTAGTACTGTCATACAATAACTCTTGGCAACGTTTAAGCCTAATCATAATAAGAATTAATAATTAATTATTGAATAATAACATACTGTTCTGATGATGTGCGTGCCTTCTCCTCATTTCTCTTCTGTAAGCTGTCTGCTTCTTCTTGCATAGCTTTGCGGTCTTCCATCAATGAATCAATCTGTTCACGTGCATTACGTGTTTGCTCTTCTAGCTGAGTTTGTAACGCCCGTATGGAAGACTTTGACATTTCAAGTTCTCTTAATATAGCCTCATGTTCTATTCGAGAAACCGAATCAGACTTTGATGGGGGTGTCGATTCAAAACCAGCAGTATGATTTGTTTTATTTTGATCTGAGTGTTATGGTTTAAGAAAAATAAGATAAAAGAAGCTGGCACAGAGATGAGACGTCAAAGAAAATAAGAAAATAGTTGGCCGTATGACAGTGAAGATGGGTTGACCACGCTGCAAAATGATTAACAGAATTGGGTCGACGCCTATGGTTAAGCAATATGAAATTGGTTACTTCTCATCAACCAATCAGTAAATCACATTATGATCAAGAATAATGAACCTACATCCTTTAAGAGTGTGAAATCCAGGATACTACATCAGATATGAACAGTTTTACAACGGCTGCTAATTCGGTTTTTGGTGATAAATGTTAACCGTCAATCAACAAGAAGCCCTGAACTTAAATTTCGTGCTTCCTACCACTAATCGATACGGTGCATCTGCAACTATAAGAAAATTAGTGTTCCTATGCGTGATTTGAACCCGCACCACCGAGTGATGCAGTCAGAAGCCATATCAGGCCGCGAAAAAACTCTGCTTAGGACTGGAATAAGTACACGAATCGATTGTCAGTGGGTAATTTACTTTTTTGTCCCGTCCACAGCTCTGATCGACATTTGTAAATCAAGTTCGCATAGTGATCACAAGACAAAATCGACGTAGAACGTAGCACACAACTGCATCCGTTCAATTTGTCACACTTCACAGTACTACACAAAACACAGGTCGGTAGAAAAAAATGGTATCAGCGAAGATAAAGGAGTGCGGGGGAATTAACAACCTGAGGATAAAGGTTAGTGCGAATATTCAAGCATTAGAAGACGTCAAGGAGTGAATACATCTGCGCCATTGTGACCGACTTTTAGCCATGTCAACAAAAGTCCTCAACCACTGATTCTGTTCTTCTCGAGGACCTCAACCAGGCAGTCTACATTGTCCACACAACTCAAATCAACAGTCAGGGACTTGATCGACTGGCCACCCTGAACCCTCTTCCAACCAATTTCAACTTCCCCCCGCATAGCACATCGAGGTGGGCTGTGGCTCCGCATGTGCAGTACATGTTCAAGCCATCTCAGTCGACCAAGGTTCACAACCTCATCAATCGACTTGCCTATCTTGCCTAGTACTCCTCACCGGACCTCAACATTGCTCACATGGTGATTCCATAAAACGCGAGCACTGCTACGAAGATACCTGTGATCAAAGCACTGTAATCACTTCAGCTCTCCTACTTTTAACAGCCATGTCTCACAACCATGTAACAGGACAGAACGAACTGCATTGCATTATACTTGTCCCTTAACAGGTAGTCAGTCGGATGTTTCACTTGTTGGCGCCACAAGTGACACAGGTTGGTGGATGCCAAACAGGCCTTCTGTATTCGAGCTGAGATTTCGTCAGCAACCAACCTGTTTGGGCTTATGCAACTCCTTAAGTAAGTGAAATTGTCGACACACTCCACCACTTCACATCAAAATTATAAAAACTAGTGTTTTTAAGGTTCACATCATCGACACGGTATAGTGTAACAATGAACGCATAATCAGCGGTATTGAATTCGAGGAATATACAACCACAACCAAAATTCACCTGAGTAAACTATAGGAGTGACCAATTAAAATAAGTGGGGCACTTTATCTTTGCTATGTCAACTTTCGACAACGCTGAACACAATCGTGTAAAAATAATACTTACTAGCACTCGATTTTAGAACTGTTTTCCCTGATGCAGTATATTCCATAACACCATGAGATGGAGCTGTTGGAACGATTGGTTTAACAGCGACTGCTGAAATCCATGTTACATTATTATTAGTTTTATTTTCTTCATTTTCGATAGTATTTTCCCCAACCATATCATTAATTGCGTCATGACGCATACCTTGAGATTCGATTACAGGTTGTCTCAGGAAATAAGTCACTTCATTTGGTCCCAAACTAGATAACTGTAATAAATGTTGTATTTTACGTCTGTCATCAAGTTCACGAATTTTCAAACGATCATTTTCAGCATACAAACGTAGAACGTGTTCACGTTCTTGAAAAAGATAAACCTATTTACGAGAAAATAAATAAGAATTGTCTGTTGATAATAATATTGAAGCACAAATAAAACAGGTAGTTTAACCAATATTTCTGCAATAAAAAGGTTAGTGTGGTGTGAAGTTATTTCCATAACCTACAAGTTGATTGCTGCAGGTTTCTAGACAGATCGAAAGTGATGAAAGATCAAGGTGAAGAATCAGTTGCAGATTACAGCAACTGCAGATTGAACTTGAATAGCGCAAAAACAAAACGAGTAGCACGTTAACACGAGCAAATTTAATATTGTTTTGAGAATTCTTTTTAACTGTTTACGAATCATCAACGGGGTAAATATTAAACACCTTGGCGGGTCTGATCCTAACTGGACGTATCTAACGATAACCTAAAATAGACAATCATGAAGCATACAATCAATCAAGTAGAATTTCATAAGACGTATATCGATTATATACGTATCATTTTCAATGATCTTAACAACGCATATCAATGATGCTCATTCTTATGTATCATATACAATCGAATATGAGCATACTCAAAAGTTTCATCTCCTACACCTTGCCATTCAACACGGCACAGAGAGTGAAATTCAAAAATACATTCACCGACAGTGCATTTGAGATAGACTACAGTGTTCAACTTCAAATCATTCTATCTCATCATCTACAAAAAGGCAGTCGGCTTGGACGTCCACCATTCAACCATATGAAAACACTATGCTCGAAAAAATAACTTGAGGAAGGGTTATCCATTCTTGAGAACAGAAGAAGCCTATCTTCTCACCACTCACCTTCAAGGCACATTCAATTGTTGATAGAATCAAGCCTTCCTTGAATACTATGCTGGGAAAAATTCATACAGCTACGAAGCTAATCTATCTATACTTTACAAATCATTCATTACACAAATGGAAGTGGGTACAAATTAATACTTCATTTGACCTCCAATTACATCTTACAATGTACATGTGCATACAATACCATATAAACAAGAAGAGCAATTACGAAGGTTCCTATCAACACTTCCAAGGACATCCTCAAAAATCTAAGATTTACTAAGGGTCCACGAATGCATTGAACAGTCCAACTCCACTTCACCTCATCGATACTGGACACAGAGTGGACAGCCTCGAATCACTCAAAGTGATCAACCTACAAAGAAAATCAGGCATGTCACGTTCCGCTGCACCAATCATTATCAAGACACTTCAACCTCATCTGCGTCTTCACAAACCCACAGCTTTCAACTTTTCAACAACCTCATGTTCGCAGTTTACAAAATATTGGATGCAAACTCTTGTTAAATCATCCCACACTTCGCATTTTCGTTCTATCTCAGACCCCTATATTTCATCTGAGCCCCACTCATCTTACGCTTCGAGAGTTTATCAATTCAAAACGCTTCTGTAGTTGTGCAACCTATGATAGTTATTCGCCATTTCTAGTCAGTTGCTACTTCTGTCCACCTCCGAACCCTCCTCTTCAAGAATATTTACCTAATAGGTAATATTCTCCTCACATTCCTAACAACTTCCTTTACTTTAATTATTGACATGATTCGTTGTCGGTTAATCGTATCAATGACTCCTTGTCAACTTGATGAAAGTATGTTCAACGTTTTGTGATGTATACCTTTTGATATTATATAGACTGTAAGCAGCTGAGAGGAATCCTTGAAATGAGGAAAAATGAGCTTATATTATCCCTGATACGCCCGTTGTTCTTGAGATGTTCAAGGTTATCAATGGGAAGAATTATATGATAAATCTATGGACTGAATATGAAGAATATATAAGCAATTAAAAGTTAACCATAATCTGCTGCAGGCCTTGACATCCAAATAAAAAGGTTGACAAGGTATATTTATTGTTGCACATAGCTAAACAAGAAACTTACAGTCAGATATACGAAAGTACATTGATTAATTAGAATATACAAAACAGTCATTACCATAGAATACAACCTATTTTATTCCGTCGTCTGAATTCCGCACTGTTAAAGGCGAACAACTCTACTTATCCTATCCTGCGACTTTCAAAACGATTGGCTAGTCTATCACGATTTCACACAAGTGCGCTATTATCACTCATTCAAATGCATAAACGGTTTCACATAGACAAAAGGAAAACACTTTGCAAATTTCTTTTTCACACGGGAATTCAAAATTAGTTAACGCATTCGTTTGCAGTCACTTATTACTCCAGCTAGCACTACAAATCGAGATGGAATAAAGTTTAAAAAACTACATGTTAGCAATCGATAAAGTACTTCCGACCCATTATTATTAATTTTCCCTTTGGTTCCCAGTGGAACATAGGGCTTCAGTAGCACGCCTCCGTTAGACTCTGTTCTCTGAAGTCTTTTGAACCTGGCGACACGACTGCCCACAAGCCTTCATTTCTTTCTCACATACCAGAACTATATTCAGCTTTCAGAATTCGTCAAATTCAATCTGTTTACAACAGAGCCGAAGTACTTTTAGTATCACTGACGAACACCTGTCGAATATTACGATTTAGTTAATACTACAGATCATAACATTTAAAAGAGCTAAACGACATCCACCTCGAAACTCCCCATAATTGAGTACTGCTGGAAAGTTTCAATACGGAATGAAACATGTGTCTGCTGTCATCTTGGTGACAATAATTTAATACTACCATTTTCCATCCTACTTGCTAGTTTGCAAACTAATTTTCCATGAAATTTCTAACAACTAATGTCAATAAATCAATTTCAGTAACGAGTGAATAACAACTATCCTATAGATAAACAAATGACAAATCCAAGCAGTAATACAACAAAGAATAGGTACACGCCACCAAAATCACAATTTCAAACTAATAATCCCAACTACATTGAAAATTCTAACCAGGCAGACTTACATTCTCGTACATAAATTGATACAAAAGAAACTTTATAAATTGGTTCCATATCTTGGTATGATCATGTTGAGATATCTACTTTGGTCCTATTCCAACAAGAAGAGTTGATTGAGGAAGGTGGCAGCCCGATATGCATGACACATATCTTGGCTACTTCATTAGATGCAAGTTTGCAACGCTAGCAGTTGATTAAGATCATTTGTCAAACAATTTTCAGCTTACGCTACTAAATATTCAATGTAACTATCACATATTGTAACCTCCCCTAGGTAACAAGTTCACTAGCTATTAATCGGTCCTAAGCCCGCAAAAACAGGGAAGGTTGGGAACAGTACTAGCAACCCTACCCCGTAAAACCAATCCAACCGCTAAAAAAAATTTAAAATATAAAGAAAATATATAGAAAAACATATAATAAAACTTATTCCTCACTGGAATCGGGAGGACCAAATGATGCCGGTTGATCAAAGACTTCGGGAAACCAATTGGCCGATGTGTCTTCTCTCTATCTCGATGAAAGCAAAAGTAAACATGGGGACATGGAATGGCTACACAATGTTTGAACCTAGCAAGGCAGCACAGATTATAAAAGAGATGAGAAGATATAACATAGAAGTGCTAGGCTGGGAATCTGCGGAAGCAGATGGAATGGAGGTGGACTCTTCAAACTATCAAGTGGAGAGTCGATAATCTACTCCGATATTGTCACCCACACAACAACCACGAGCACACTGAGTTTTCGAGTGGATATCATGATGTCCACAACAGCATCAAAGGCTCTCTCTCATGCAGTGGAAACCAATCTCCTCCCCTGCAGAATCAGGATCATGACACCAAGGTTCAACTCAAAAGGAAGGAAAGTCACAATCATACAATGCTACGCTACCCTACGCTACGCACCTACAAATAATGCAGATGAAGAGAAGAAGGAGGAATTATACAGACAACTGCAATCAGTAATGGACAAGACCCCACACCAGATGGCGACAACGGTAGGGTGACATCAATGCCAAACTGTGAGCAGACAACACAGGAAGAGAACTCATCCATCATGGGTCGAGAAACACTCGGGGAAACAATGAATTCGAATGGAGAACTGTTTGCAGATCTCTGAGCATTCAATGACTTGGTGATTCGAGGCAGTGTGTACAAACACACACAAGGATATTCACAAAGCGAGCGACATGCATTTTATTCCACCAGATGGACACACTACACTAAATATCAAATCGAATTCATCTCAATCTCAAGAAAGTGGAGACGTAGTCAGCATACTGGATACAAGATCATATCAGATCAAGAAGGGAACAGATATAGGTTCATATCACTCACTATCTACTACAAGGAACCTGCATTCAAAATCAAATTGAAAGCCTTCACAAAAATTGGTGAAAGACCACGGTTCAAGTTCAACACCCAGAACAGAAACTGAACTGAAGGACGAAACCACAAATAACATCTTCACGTCAACCATCACGAAGCAATGCGAGACACTAAGCAACAGCCCTGAAGAAACCTCCGTAAAAGAACGCACTGCAACTCTTTGGAAGAGACGTGGAAGGAAACCTGTATAACCATGTTAGCAAGGAGGAAGAAACAAGACAAGGAATGGATCCCGATGGACACATGGAAGATCATACAGGTGGTGAAGCAGAAGATCAACTAGTGCAGTGCAGTGCAGTGCAGTGTGTGGATGAACAACGAGAAGACGAACTGAGTACAATGTATAAAACACTACATTGGACAAAGAAGTGAAGGAGAGTGCGCACAAACACAAAACACACCTCAACAACACACTTGCAAGTGAAGCAGAACAAGATGCTGCAGGTAGGAGAGACAGAGACCTGACAACACTATATCAACCACGTTACTATCCGGAATGGAAGAGATCAACACAGACGAAATCAATGAAACATAGTGAAGAAAACCTAGTTAACACCAAAGAAGAGAAACAAAGGAAACGATGCGCTGACCACTTCAAATAACTCTTGAATCGACCACAACCACCACCATTTGCAACTCGTCAAGAAATACCATCAGCATACCAACCACACAACTACCAGTGAACACAGGCCCTCCAATAAAAGCAAAAGTGGAATCCTGAACACCATCAACTTACTGAAAACCGGGAAAGCAGTAGGACCACATGAAATTCCCCCAGAAGTACTGAAAACACATGCAGAAACAACTGCAGAGACGCACACACCACTATTGCACTAGGTTTGCAAGCAAGGAAAGGTACCCGCCAGTTGATTGCAAGAACGGCTACCTTGTCAAACAAGGCCAAACAAGGCAGACCTAAGTCTTTGCAAGAACTGGTGCACAATCATGCTCCACCCCACCCCACCCCACCCCACCTGTCCACTCACAGCAAGCAAAATATTAAGCCGCATCATCCTGAAAACACTAAAACATGCACTGGATTCTAAATTACCACCGAAACAGACTGGCCAACCAAATTGCAACGCCACTCTACGCATCAGCATAGAACAGACCATAGAATGCCAGTCAACACAACACAACTCAACATCAACCTCAACCTCAACTTCATCAACTTTGATAAGGCCTTCGATTGCATCGGCCGAGAAGTAATTTGGCAGGCAGCTGTTTCAACACTACGGTTTCAGTGCCACAAACACTTATCAACCTCATTCAACAGCCATATGCTATATGATGCTACATCCCAGGTGATTCACATAGCAATGCAAAACTCAGTGGTGCCTTTGCAGTGAAGACAGGAGTAAGACAAGGTTGCCGCCTACTATCACCAACCATCTTCCTGATTGTAGTCTACTGGACTGGACTGGATCATGCAACAAACTGTGACGAGCGAGAAGATAGACATACACTGTTTGACCTATGAAAAGACCCTAGAAGATTTGGATTTCGCCGCCGATGATGATTTATGTCTAATATCTTGTCACACAAACTCGAAGATCTACAGGCGAAAACCAACAAGTTGACAGAAGAGGCGAAGTAGTGAAGACGGGACTTCAAGTGAATGTAGAGAAGACAGAGGTGATGAAGATACCCAAGCAACAACAGCATCATGAACAATGGGCACCAATCACCATTAATAGGAGAAATCTAAAGGTAGTAGTCTCCTTTACCTACCTAGGCAGCCAGGATCGTTTCAACTACAGGTGGCACAGATGAGGAAGTCAAAGCCAGGATCGGAAAGACAGCAAGAAAGGCCTTCATCAACCTGAAAGCAGTGTGGAGATCTACTGCACTGTACTCAGTATAAAGCGTGAACAACATCCGGATTTTCAACACTAATTCAGTCAATCAGTGCTTCTACATGGTTCAGGAACTTGGCGCGTTACGAAAAGCATTTCAAACAAACTACACACATTCATCAACACCTGCTGCCTACGCTCACTCGATAGTGAAGATCAGGTCAGATGGCCAGAAAAAATAAGCAACAAGGAACTCACTGTGGCTGGCAACAAACCAACGAAGCAAGAACCCATCGCCCAACAAGTATCCAGAAGAAAGTGGAGATGGATTGGACATAACGTGAGAAAACCAAACGGAGACATCACAAGTCAGCCTTCGAGTGGGGAAACGAGTAGTTGGGCATCCGAAGGTGACATGGAGGAGATCATGTGAGGGGGAAATGAAAGCTTGTGGGCAGTCATGAAGCCAGGTTCAAAAGACTGCAGAGAACAGAGTATAATGCCGACGTTCTACTGAAGCCCAATGTTCCTTAGGAACCCAAGCGACAAACAAATAAATAATAATCAAAATTACATACTTGTAATGCTTTGAAAGTATCAGCGTTTAAGTACCTTCTCGTTGTCTGTTCTTAAAAACATGACTTACAGACACGATACATCACAGTAACTTATATTCGCTGACTTATAGGCATCTATACACGTCGTCCGTAGAACAAGTAGTATAATTTGGTAAAAGTTCAAAGAGCAATGTGCTTGTTTGTTAAATAAACCGTCACAAATGGGGAAGTCCAATAGTTCACTGAAGTAGGAAGTATAAACTAAGCACTTTGTATCAATTCAGACTATTGGGCGATCAAATAAATAAAAGCTGGTAACTAAAAGGAACAAATTCTTCATAAATAAGCCTGAATCGAATGTTTACATACGATGATAAGTTCCTAGTTTTGGTAAGCATCAGTTCTATTTAAACTACTACAGAATAAATAATAAGGGTTTGTGAACGTTAGCTGGAAACCCGATACATATGGAGATAAAAGCCTAAAAGATAGTCAGAAATCGGTCAACATCCATCAGCTATCCTGCCCATGCTTTCAAATTTTTTCTAATAATTACTCCTTCGCTAAATGACTGTAAATGTTTTGAATGAAAGAAAAATCATTCACAGAAATTGTTATCTCTGTGAATAGACAACCATAACAGTTTAATACCCAGGAAATTTCGATATTTTAGTTACATCAACTGAAAAGGTGTCATTTGTTGTATTGCTTTATTTATTTTAAAAGTCATTATACTGATGATTTATTTTGGTAACGTTATTTTATAGTTCGGTTTAAGAGCTTACGATTGACCGCTTATCCATTTATGTGACCAACAACCCGGAAATAATTGCATGTTTAGTGAAACGCATAGTTGTGCATTATGCCACTTTTTGTGCTTGGAATCGGTTTGTTTCATTTTTATAAATTATGATGCGTTGTGATAAGGTAGTCTGGTTGTATGCACAAACGAATCAGACCACCTGAAATTAACGGACAACATATACCAGACTGTGTGCTGTTATAAGCGGTTGGCAGGTCTTAATTGAACGATTCATCGTATAGGTGGATTGAATGTACAACACCACTCATATATAGGGTCAGTGTTAAGGCTGAATCGGCAGTATCACGTGCTTAAGACAACTGCAACCGAACAAGTTATAACACTTTCAGACTCCTGTATACTGAATACAGTATTGTTTGTGACACTAAAAAAATGCCGTCTACAATAGCTTCCGGTTAGTACTAGTATAATAGTTGGCTTAATATCATGAGGAGTTGAAAAAATGCTTGAAAAAAAATTTAAAGGCATTTTTAGATGTGTTAAATCCTGCATTTATGTCCAGGTCACCTCTATCAAAGTAATATTTAATTGAAGAGTAATATGTTCTGAAGCTTTGCATTTTTAATAGTCTGATAAAGACTAACAAATTAGGCAGGAAATACGGTCAGAAACCTTTGTTCCACAATAATACAACATAGCGGTAGTAAAATCGTCAGACAAAATACTTTTTAGTGGAAAAGTAGAGATTTCCTGATGGATAGATGAGATATGTCATTCATGAGAACATAAATTGTCGTACACGTATACCATACATAATTATTTTTTGCTGTAAACTTTAAACACTGCGAACATCTTTTTCAGACTGCATATTACTTCAAAATATTTGGTCATAACATGATGGTTGGTGACGTATGTTATGAAAACACGGAAGGTAAGACAAAAGGTTTTAAAAACCAGCACCCGAAGGACAAAGTTTTAACTATTGTCGTTAATACAGCAACACATTAGTTTTTGAGTAACACACAAATGGATAGTGCTTTAGTATGTATGCAGTAACCGACTCCTATTTCATTAAAATGTAGTCTACTGTTTGTATTTAAGTCGCTACTTAAATGTTGACAGTGATGCTACTAGTGGAAACTCGGACCAAGAAACATTGAAAGGCTCTATGCTGTTTCGATCAGTTATTTAAAAATTAATTTACTTACATCTCTTACGCGCGAAGCTCAAAAATTATACTTAAGCTTACCTGCATATCAGATAAGGCTCTTTGAAGTTCAGAAATCTCTGCATCACGTTGATTTAATTCCAGAGTAAGAGTTTCTTGGTTACCTATAGCGTCATAAATTTTGTCTAAACGACGCTGAACAGCCTCATGATCTTCAGTTAATGTCTCCACTTTATGTCGATAATAAGATAGCAATTCTTTCGCCGAATCATTTAACTGAGTAAGACGATTATCCAGGACATCATTTGACTTCGACTTTAACGTTGTCTCATTCGCCTTCGATGTACTGGATGAGCGGATATTGGAAACAAGATTTGTAGGAGCTTTAAGGGTTACAGAATCTTTTTGTGCAGATGGTTTCTTCACTGTAGGTATCCTGGCAAAATATTAACAGTGGTAAGTCAGATTAGGCAGTCATATATATGACGTGTAGAATGTCTCGTGTCATTGTATCATGAGCTACAGTACAGTATTACCTAGTGATGAACCTGTTGAAAGATGACGGAAAATCTCAATAAAGGATAGAATTCAACTTGACCCAAATTCTTGTAAAACCAAGCTCTATGTACAGGAATAAAGAATGCAAAAGAACGAATGCATTCGAAAACAGTTTATTATTCATGAAAAGATGATTATTGACTGTTGAGTCACGATGCTAAGCACCATAATTCTTTAATTCAAACATACGAACACTGGGATAGCTGGTTAAGCGTCCTAGAAAACTGAGTTTGCAACCGGAATTTGCTGCATATCAAGTATCGCACAAAGTATAAATGCTTAAAAATAATTACCTTAACCTGCTGTTTAAGAATACCTAACTGTTAACCAGTCACTGATGTTAATGGACATCAAATAATCTTCCTACCTTCTGTAACCTGAGATCATGCGAGATGCTTACTAACTTATAAAGGAAGATACATTTGCGTACAGAAACCTGTAAAAATCATTACAGAATGTCTAGAGAATTCAGGTAATTCTGAAGTAGAATTTTGAGGGAGTTGTGGAAATTTGGAAATATTTAGGTTTAACTATCTGGTTCGTTTGAATTCCGAGAATTATTTTTCCTTCATTATAAGCTATGATATTTAACGTTTAGTCTTTTCGTTGTATGCTTATCGCCCCACAGTTAGCAATACTAAAGTAATGTTTATAAAAATTTTGGTAGTCCAGAATTCCTGCTTTTAACCCTGCCACACCAAAAACGTTTTTCCAATTTCCATCGTCACTCATTCCTACACTTGAAGACTAGTTTGTTGACCAAGACAGTCTCAAATAATACTCAGTAGTGCTTCTAGACGTAAGAGACCGTCAATTACAAACAATACAGGAAAATAACTGTGCTACTTATTCTTTGCTATTAGTCATAATCCCTATCGTGAAATAACGCATCATTGGTCTGACATTAATTCCTATCGAGAAAAATAAAGGTGTAAAGTTAATAGGTTTCAGGTGCAATATTAGATCCTTCAATTTATTATCCACCATCAAATTACATGATACTTAACTGTAGTTGCAAAAACTTATTAGTCACCCATTAAAAAACCTTATTATTAGTGAAAAAAGATTGATACTACAATGTAATAAAAGGTGATTTTATCTACTCTTGGGATACCTCTGATGTTTAGGTAACTAAGATTATAGAACTATCAGTTGGTACTATAATGGATAATGTAAACCCAACTTCTGGCAATAAGTCTGATTCTATACACAAACTTTCAAAGTTCAGTGGGATTATCATTACTAATTAAATTGGACTATCGAAACTACCATTTAGAAAAATGAGGAATTCAAGCGGCACCCAGTAAATAAACCACTTGGTTTTAATGACGTAAATAATTTCGGCATACTTTTAAATCCCAGTGATGAAATTCAATCAGTCATACATTTCGTGAATGTGATCTCTCCAACAGTAAGGATGAAAACTAGCATAAAACGTCTGATTAATCTATGGATAGTTCGAAAAACATAAACTGCACAACAAAGTGGAGCGGGCTAACCTCCCAACACAAACATTTAACTCAGCGACTACTTCCACAAGTTCAAAAAAGACGTCAAAAGTTTAGTTTCTTGTCACATCTCTTCATAAACGGATACCAGCTGTAAACAGTGATAACACTGTGTATAGGGTTTCGTTTTTACAACTTATGTTGAGGATTATTCTCCAAAATGACAAATTGAAATCATACCACAAGCAGGTAGTTGCAATTCATAAAATAAAACAGTTCATTGATTTGACTGAAGGAAACGATGCATATTTAGAACTGGATGGAAAAGAATAACAACAGTTTCATATCCTTGTCACCACTTGTTATAACCTTGTAGTCTTAGCAGTGACTACTTGATGTGACCTAAATTATATATATATGGACGCTTGAATAAGTTGCCTTCAGATTTCCCTCAACTGATAATCACTCAGTTTCTTGGTGAGTGGAAAAGGCGGTAAGATAGCAGAAGATGCATTGCAACGTCAAAAAAATTTACAAAATACATTTCTACGTTTGAATATTTTATTGATTTTTGTCCTTTCAACCACCCTGATATCTATACGTTCGTTCACATGTTCTTCCAAAACTTCGTAACAAAACGATTGGTTGAAAAAGGCTTGCATGGTTAAAGGATTCTTTTGAAGATTTTGTAAATCTTACTGCACACTATAACAAACATTATTTTATATTATGACAGAATAAAATTTTAAAAATCATTTCGCTGTAAGGTCGATCAAAAACCCAAGATGGGAACTGTATGAGTGAGAAGACATAGTAAGGATCGTTTAAAAATCGCAGTGAAGAATTACACGATACTTTCCTTTTATGTAGACAGGAGAACATACAGAAGAAAAGTCTACCTTCCAATAGACCGAAATGATGAGACCGAGATGATAAGATAAAAAAATACTAGTAAATACCTGTTAGTCACCCATAAATACCGGTAAAATTTCACCTCGGTTTATTTTGTTGAATGTGAATTCGGTAGAATAGGTGCACTAAGAAATGCATCATCTTACGAAAGCATAAAACGAAAAGAGAAAGAAAGTAGAATGACTGTCAGAGGAACAGTTCACCGAAACAAGGGAAAAAACCCTTCATCGCTATCTCAATACTTCTCAATTCCATCACATAACCCAAGCTGAGAAGGAATCAATGCCATAAATGTTAACGATTAATATCCATACTTATAACCTGACAATTAATCATCAAACCTAATATTTAGCACTTCAGTCAACCGGTTAAGCAATGACATTCAGTTGTTTTCGGTCAACTGGCGGTGATAACACACAATCTTGTTTGTTTTATGTTGAATAATTTAAAAGCAAGTTAGCGTTTAACTTCACAGAATATCAGTAAGTTTGTGAAATCAATTGCTGGTTTATAAATAAGACATACTAAACAGAATGAAAATGGTTAAGTGACTCTTTATATGATCAACATTCAGTGGGACTTAACTTAAAGCCACTCATTAAAGAAAGACCAGTTAATTCCTTAAATACCAGGCATGATTTTCTATCATAGCATTACTTCACCAGAACGTTGTAAGATTTCTGCACTATAATATTAACACTTAAAACTGCTCATATTTCCAACTGCCATCCTGAAGTTCCCCTGCCTTCTTTGTTCCTACAATAAAAACCAAAGAAATCTAAAGAGAATATTTGTAATACCTCTTCTTCTTGGGACCTGACACTTCCGCACCGGTGGTCGAACACCTGATGCTTTCTCATGTCATCCACCTTTGATGGTTACTTTTTACAGCCATGTAGTAGAACACAGCGAACCGCAGCACATTACACGAGGTTTTCAATAGGCAACCGGATATCACGCCTGCGAAATGAACGGTGTAAGTTGGCAGAGGCCAACCAAATCCTCTGTATCCTACTCGTTAAGTTTTGGGGGATGATCGATGCCTCCAGATGATCTCACCAGCTTATGCTTTAAAAAACTTATCTACAAGAATTGAAATTTCTTTTCCACCTCCTGTACACCCCTCATTTCGCTGCTCTATACAACGCTATTTGCCTATTGGTTTCTCTTTCGCCATCTAGTTCGTCTACCTGGAGAGTGTTATCAGTTTACGACAATGCTGAAAACAAAATTAATACTCTTGGGTCACGGGCTCTAGCCTCAGCCCACCTACCGACGATTTGGCAGCCAAGCAGTATCACTAGCCTTCACACAATAGGTATGGTTCATTGCCTATTGCACGGATGTCCATAAGGTAGGCGAGTGAGTTTCGATTTCAATTTCGGTCGACGCAAGTCTTCTCAATAGAAGCATGATCTTTCCCTTCGTGTCAACTGTATGGAGTTAAAGAAGCTGTCGCCTAGTCATTCATTGAACTGGCCTTTAAGTCAATAATTTCATATTACTGCAAGTGATAACAGTGACACATGACTCTGTTGTTCAATTTATAGTGAATATAGTTATAAAAACTAAACTGATACATTCGAAGAAAGCCTTACTTTTTAGTACGAAAGTCGGAATTCAAAATAAATCCAACGTAAACTGATTTCCTAGTGAGGTTTGGTTAAGCACTTACCTTGTACTACTTGACATTTGTGGTTTGCTTTCGTTTTTAAGAGCGACTGGAGACATTATTTGCAAATGATCATTCAAATCAGAAGAACATTACGTGCTTGAGAAAATTTAAAAAGTAAGGCTATCAGTTTTATTTCATTCAAAGTGATAGTGTAATGAAATCAATTTTTATAGTTAATGACAAAAAATGTTATTTAGAATCATATTCCTATGAACTATTCCTGATAACCGCCTAGTGTTCTTCGAGTTCTGAGGTTTGTTCTTGGAGGTTTCATCACCAGACTAGGTGAAATCCTCAGTGTTTGCCACGTATTTTTAAGTTGCATGAATGTTTATACAGGGAATCTGTCGACCTTGAAAATTACTGACTTGTGGGTAGGGGTGACCTCTCCTACTTTCTTATCAAAGGTTGACGTTATCGTTTTACTTACACGGTTGACCTGTTTCATTTATTGGTTACTTGACTGATTTCCAGTTGGCTGATTGGTACGTCAGTCCCCGTTGTCTGAAAGCTTCTTAACTCAGTAAACCATGCATTTGATAATGCTTTTCAGCAGAAATCTTCTTTGTGATGTTTATCCGTTAGTTTTGTATACCTAAATATTACCCTTTTGCGATCCATTCGTTCTTTGCATGCTGCAGTAAACTGTGACGGCTTGAAGTGGTGATCTACTTATTTGCACGGTTCTACGGGGATTTTGTCTATCGATGCTACCTGATAATTAATATTAACTTCATTTGTCCATTCAGCTTCATTGCCAAAAAGCCATATATTTAAAAAATTCCATTTTGACGTTGTATTCAAAGGCACCGCCAAAAATTGTAGTATGACGAAACAAATACATGACAGGAAGTTATAACAACCCCATTGGCAACGACTTCATTGAGAGACAGACAAATCAACTTAAAGTATGGCACAAAAGTGCATTAGTCCAAGTTGTCACGCTTCACATGAGTATGCAGAAAACAAGTGGATAGAAAAACGGTGATATTGAGGTAGGCAAAAGTGTATAAGAGTTGGAAAAACAAATGTTCACAGGTCAAGCAAAATATTTAAGACTTCGAAGACAGCAAAAAGTGTGTGTATCTGGTGTTAGATGGTGGGTTTCAATCGACTGGAAACTCTGGTCCTAGGATCTAGGATTCGTGCTTTTTGGTACTCACCAGGAGGGTGTATCCGTATAAAATCTGCGTCATTATGAACTATTTTCAGATATATCATCAAGAATCTTCAACCACTGATTCCTATTATCTCAAGAAACTCAGTTAGATGATCTACATCTCCCTACACGGCTAAGAAAAACAGTCAAAGACTTCATGGGCCATTGTCATCTCTTGATTTCGTCAAACCATTAATCCAACCCGATCCCCTTTCAGCTAACATTGAACCTCGATGCAGGTGGCGTAACACATGCAAAGGTTGACAACTACATCGACTGGCTTCCCTTCCTTAAGTAGTACCCTTTAATCAACCTCGACATTGCTCATACAATGATTTCACGAAATGTGATCAACGCTGTGAGAAGACCTATGGTCAGAAAACTTTAACCTCTACATATTTTGTTAAAGATTATTGCTTTTCTGTTGCCCCGTAAATACACACTTGACAGTCTCGACCACAAAGAAACTTCACCACTGCCTTTTTTCTGCTCCCATAGGCGTAAACATATGTGCACATCCTAACGCTTGATTTGGATATCTCCCCTTATGCTTGAAGTTAATGCTGAAAAGAATCAAGTGATTCTCAGAACAAAATGGTACGAGATGATCACCGGTTTGTTGACATGAGATGCTGTAGATACCTCGAAGACACCTTTCCAATCACCCCAACTTCTCTACTTGAGTGCTGAAGGTGCTTGCCACTGTAACTACATCTGATCACTGCATCATGTAGTGAGACTGATGGCTTTTGGTAGGACCTGAAAGTACAGTTTCACTAAACGACCGAGAGTGACAGCCAGAAACTTCATGAAATCGAGCAGCCTTTCAGTCTATCCACCTCAAGCCTTTCCCCACTTACGCAAACTTCAGATAATATTCCATGTCAGAGTAGACGGTTAATAGGAATATGTTCATTGGTTTTCGTAAGTTTGATTCGACTTTTGTTGATAAGAGGAACTATGTTCTTCCAACACTTTACTGCTTGAGCTATGTATTATGTTACATAATAAAAAAACACGCACTCAAAAATTAAAAACTCAAAAAACTATTTGTTGAATAGCTTTAAATTTTTATTCAAAAATATGCTTTGGAAATAGATACAATATTGTGTACACAGATGACAATTATTCATAGTAACGATCTTCGTTGTTGTTTTCGACTTGTAGACGTGGTAATAACCTTAGGTTCTGTTGGACGTCGCCTACTTCTACGGCAGCCATATTTCTGCACGCCTTCAGCCTGTTCTGCTAATTCTTTGACCCAGGTCGAAGGTCTCTTAAGTAATCGAATTCTTTCACCCCAATCAAGAGTTTCGTCCACCTTTTCTTCTCTTTCGTTTACTTTCTCCTCAGATTTTCGAACTGAATTTAAAACTTTAGTTTTCGAGGACAAACGACTAAGTGACTGTTTCACAGAGTTATTCTTGTTAGGTGACTGAAGCCCAGAAGTTTTTTTGACATTTTTATGCTTTTCACTCTTATTTTCAACTATCACAGAACCTACAACAATACCAGGACATGGAGTTTCAAAATGGTCGTCATCAGTTGGAATTTGCACATTTTGATTTGGAGATTCATCGGCTGAAGGACTGGATATATTGTATTTCGTCCTACGAATAGTACAAAATTTTACTTCATTCTGTTTTATCAATTTTTCTAATTCCATTGCAAGCATCTCGATACGATTTAAGGAATCCTAAGATAATCAAAGGTGAAAAACAAAATTGCCTTATACAAATGGCAGAAATTATAATCGTTTAAATCAATAGCTACCGTATGCAAATATCTAACTGAATTAAAAGAAAAGTTTGTAAGTGGTGTCAAACACGGGAAAAAGGTGCATAAATGTCAATGAATTTAAATGATGCAGGTCTTAATTCAAAGTAAGAGTCATTATATATATATGATTCAGTCGCAATTTACTGACATCAAGTAACTAGAATGAGCTGCAAAAAGTAGTGAAAGCTTCCTATATTGCGCTAAACAAAACAAGTGTTAGAAATCTTCTTTACATCGAAAATTAGCTAAATGATTGTAAGAGCCGTTTATCAACTTCACCTTGTTCTTCACATTCTACCTTTTTGAGCTTTCGATTTGCATTCTATTATAGTGGTAAGCAGTACGAATCACGCATCAATCATTCTGTTTTGCAATATGGTTTATCTTGTTCTACCTTTAAATTTATAGTTTTCCTTCATCTTTACATCTGTGCTACCTACCTTATTGTGCTTAGTTTTCCTGACTACCATTTGTTAACAGCTAGACAGTCATAGTGTTTATGGACTTCTAATATGCTGTAAATTTCCACTCCTACCTCCAGGTCTAGTCTGCAACTATTCCCAGTTTCATGATACGGAGTGAAGTGGTGGAGTGTGTCGACAATTTCACTTACTTAAGGAGTTGCATAAGCCCAAACAGGTTGGTTGCTGACGAAATCTCAGCTCGAATACAGAAGGCCTGTTTGGCATCCACCAACCTGTGTCACTTGTGGCGCCAACAAGTGAAACATCCGACTGACTACCTGTTAAGGGACAAGTATAATGCAATGCAGTTCGTTCTGTCCTGTTACATGGTTGTGAGACATGGCTGTTAAAAGTAGGAGAGCTGAAGTGATTACAGTGCTTTGATCATAGGGATCTTCGTAGCAGTGCTCGCGTTTTATGGAATCACCATGTGAGCAATGTTGAGGTCCGGTGAGGAGTACTAGGCAAGATAGGCAAGTCGATTGATGAGGTTGTGAACCTTGGTCGACTGAGATGGCTTGAACATGTACTGCACATGCGGAGCCACAGCCCACCTCGATGTGCTATGCGGGGGGAAGTTGAAATTGGTTGGAAGAGGGTTCAGGGTGGCCAGTCGATCAAGTCCCTGACTGTTGATTTGAGTTGTGTGGACAATGTAGACTGCCTGGTTGAGGTCCTCGAGAAGAACAGAATCAGTGGTTGAGGACTTTTGTTGACATGGCTAAAAGTCGGTCACAATGGCGCAGATGTATTCACTCCTTGACGTCTTCTAATGCTTGAATATTCGCACTAACCTTTATCCTCAGGTTGTTAATTCCCCCGCACTCCTTTATCTTCGCTGATACCATTTTTTTCTACCGACCTGTGTTTTGTGTAGTACTGTGAAGTGTGACAAATTGAACGGATGCAGTTGTGTGCTACGTTCTACGTCGATTTTGTCTTGTGATCACTATGCGAACTTGATTTACAAATGTCGATTAGAGCTGCGGACGGGACAAAAAAGTAAATTACCCACTGACAATCGATTCGTGTACTTATTCCAGTCCTAAGTAGAGTTTTTTCGCGGCCTGATATGGCTTCTGACTGCATCGCTCGGTGGTGCGCAGGTTCAAATCACATTTCGAAAAGTCTGTATCCAAAAATGAAACCTAGACTAAGATGGTGACATCTTATTTTGGGTGAAAAGTGCGCATATCAGCTAAAAACAAACAACAGTAACCAGCTAACTATAAGCTGATTGGCACCAGCGAACTAGCTATTTGCTTTCACCAGCTTTATAGGACACTTTGTTTTGAAACAAAAGACGAGAGTTGGGAAAGGAATCATAGAAACTAGATTAAATATGAACTGAAAAATCAACTCCATAATAAAGCTCAGAAATATACACTACAATGTGGTACTTATAGATTGTTTAGAAATTGATACGACTGCCTGCCTACACCAGTGAGGTGAATTGTTTGTTAACAATTCACCTCAGGGTGTGAAGTCATCAAAACATTGACTGAAAAAACCAGTGGTCGCACAATCATTAACGTGAGACCTAACACTTCTGCGCAACCATCTAATTCACCACACCTCAGATCACCACATCAACGTAGGAGATACAAAGATTAAAAACTGAGAAATTAAAGATGTCAAAAGTGGTAGAAAGTCATAAAACGAGAATGAAAAGGAAGGGAAATGATGAGACTCGGTATTATCATCCAGGTGAGATCGTTTCGATACATCTGAGCAGATAAAATAGATTCTTCGAAAATCATCCAGAGTCTACAACCACCGATTTCGGTGTCCACGCAGAATTTCATCTCGGTGCATACATTCTCTTACATGGCTTAGTCCAGTGACCAAGACTTGATGGAATAATGTAATCTTTTAGTCTGGATGTTTCTAACCTTTTTCCTGTCTGAAACTACTTGGGCTAACATTATGTGACAGGACAGACGCTGACTACGCACATATAACTCAGGCCGCAGCCAGTCACCTAAGTCGATGAAGGTTGACAGTTTCAGTAAGAAGTTTTTCTCTACATCCCCCCCCCAAAAAAGTACGCCTGATGTTTACGTTACTGAGGTGATGACACAACGACAGCCTATGCTATGGAGACATCGGTTGCTGAACACATCAAGCCTGCTCATGTCCTTCTCCACTCTTAATGGACATGTTTCCTAGTCATGTAGTAGGTCAGAGATAACTGTCGCGCAGCACATTCCACCCTGGTTCGGTAATCAAAGATCACCCTGGCAACATAAATGGTGTAAGTTGGCTAAACCCAAGCCAGTCTCTTACATCTGTGCAGTTTTACTCCATCCCTGACCACCCAACGCGGTTTATTCGATTTCTCAAGTAAGTAAAATGATCAGCGTACTCAACCCTATTGTCACATAAACCACCCACAAAGACCAGTCCTGAAGTAACAATTTCCACTTGCATTCGGTTGATGAGAAATGTATTCCAAACATTCTCAAATTGCCAACAAGTGTCCGCAGGACTGCTTCTTGTCAGCACCTTCCCCCCCCCCACATACACACACACACGACCATATCGTTTGCGTACTCAAGGTCCAGTAACGAGTTTACTAAGACGAAATTCATTCCCGTAAAATCAGACGAGAAGAGATACATTCGCAAGATTGTGTATGACTAAGTAAAATACGAATGGATTGGAAATCACTCATGAACACCACTGGACATACGCAACTCACCAGATGCTATATGCTTGAAAACACCCACGAATGTTTGCATACAGAGCCTTCAACAGAGTGATGTATTTACCCGGCACCCCTCTCACAGACAGACATCGTTATAACATTTACCAATCGACGGAGTCAAATGCCCTCTTCAGGTCAAAGAAGTCAACTATTCTCGGGGAAACTAGTAATTCTGTGTTCCAGAACTCAATGGAGGGTGAATATCTCATCGACACACCTACCACAAGGCCTGAAACCTACCTGGATATCTGCAGTTCGCTGTTCTAAAGTTTCACTTAGGTGCTAAATGATTACCCAACCTTGAATCGTAGATGCTGTGCTCGTTAAATTGAGATCCCTGTAGCTGTCACATGACAGTTTGTTTTTAATTTCTTTAAAACCAGGACAATAGCCACTGCAGTCAGTTTGAAAGGATCACACCTCATATTCGTACACTAGACAATTCAATCAATACTCCACAACTACCAACCTATAATACCTCTGGAACTAAGTCATCTTCCCTTCCTCATTTCTGCTTATTTGCAGTCCACTCAACTTCTGCAAGAATTGGACGGTTTATCTCAGTATTCCATCCAGGATGGGACGCGATAGCCAGCAACGAAATAGTAGCTGCAGACCAGTTAAACAAATCCTTAGTGTTTGGCATCCCAGCCGTCTTCCTTGTACGTGAATCGCAGAACCACCCTTCTCCTCTCTGGTCATACTAGCCACTGAGTTCTTGCCCAAGTTTCCCTGATAATTCTAAGCAGTCACCTAATGATACTTTTTGCTACTGTCTTCTCTATCTCTTCAACCTTCGCTACCTGTCAGTGCTCATAGTCATTGTATACTCTTGTATATACACTTGAATTGCTTCCGTTCTTTATTGTGCTTGGAGCCTGCGTGAATGCGTTCACGTGAACCCATTAATTCAGATGAAGCTACCAAGAAATATGCACCGTTTCTAAACTTTTTCCTATGGTCAATTATTGTATTTAATACCGTTCTTATGGTAAACTGAAGAAAGCGCCAAGCTCTTCAAGGATAAGTGACCCCTTCCTCCCCTGATAACTGTCTACTCAGTTACTCGTTGAAAGTAACTCTAGTATTCTTATCGTCAAGCTGGATATGCAACGTTTTGTGACTGCAATTTTTTTACATCTGTTAAAATGCGACCACACGCGTGCTCAAAACAACCCGAGGATACCGTTTAGACATATGCTCTACAGAGAGCAGAAATCTCCCATCAACACTCCTCTTACAATATGCGATAGCAATACAGTTCATCTTCGTTCACCATTGGGTTGAGTTCGGTGGACACCAAGTTAAAAAGTGTTTAAAGTTCATGGTGGCTAGAAATAGATAGTTGTCTGACCACAGTTGTAATAGGTGATTTCGTTTTCCACTTGTTCAACTGGGATTATGAAAGTGTCAAATAAGTACTTTTCTGCCTGACCAAGTCTACCCACTTGTGTATTGATATCATCTGTAACGACAACCACATCTGAACGGTTGGCTTTGAACAGCAGATGGGGCCAGTCTTTGATAGTTTAGCAGACCGTCAGCGTTCACTTTTTTCACAGTTAGCTCACTTACACTTTACAGTGGTAATTACCAATCAACCAACTATGACTTGAGTAACAATATGCGACGTTCAGCGAAATTTGTACCAACTGACAAAAATTGGGTGAATTAACATTCGCCATCATGACTAACTGGAACATGGTTGAAAATAACACCTAGTTCATTCGGTAGTATATACAGAAGAAAATTTACAAAATCTTATGTCGACTAACATCTACGAAACTTTGATCAACAAAGTGAGCTAATTTAACGCAGAATAATAAGAGACTATAGGTTTATGTGTACTCCACCTTATCAAATTGTTACTGCTACAGAAATATACACTCTGAAAGCATACACTGCTTTTCAATCAACCTTTTCAAAGATCACATTTCACGGTACATTTCATTTAAAGACATGAGTTAAGTTTAGAACAGAATCTCGCCATGAGTGATTTAAATTACTGGTGAAATTCCCTTTAGTTCCTGATGATTAGAATACAATACTAGGACAAATAGTTTCCTTACAAATATAGACTAACAAAGTTGACAGCTTGAAAGCGGTACATAAAAGAAAGTTATAGAATCGCAGCAGACGACTTACAGGGAAATTAACAAAGTTTAAACCGGGTAGAAATTCATCTTCTTTTTCTTCAGTGTCTGGGTTATCCTGATCTCTAAACGAATGTAAGTCCACATTTTCACCAGTTACTTTAAGTTTTTGTGTAAGTGATCTCTTAGCTTCAGCATAACGTGACAAACTCAGATTAAGACACTGAACTGCTTGGTCTATTCCTGATGAAGATTGAATAGCTTTCACAACAGGGAGAGAACAAGTGAGGAGGTCACGACGTTGACTGAAACCAGGTTTCACAGTTTCGGAAATATTTTCAGGTGGCGATATGTTGCCTTCCGTGGTCTCACTTTGCTTTACAACAGGGCTGTCGAAGAGAGGTGCTCCTGGGTAAAACACCTGGCGCGTGGCACAAAAATGAAAAGCATTAGCAGCACACAGCTTTCGGAATACATAATAGACATCTAGATGCCCCTCATCACGAGCCTCTGTGACAACTTGTAGAATCCAAAGCCAACTTACGGGACACACACGTATGCGTACCTAAGAGTTTAAAAAGTCGAATACATAGAACAACGAAACTTTAGCATTCATTTGGAGTGTTGGTAAAAATCAATAAGTGAAAAGGACCACGCATACATGGCTTAATTCAACGAAAAACTCCAGCAATACGACTCCATTAAAAGGTAAAATAAAGTTTTACTATGACTAGTAAATGGTAGTTGAAGTTGATTCAGACCCTTGCTGTCCCACCCATCAGAGTTAAAAGTGGCTAAATAAACCCAAAAGTAAGAAAGTAATTCCCAAAAAATACCTCATTTCTTCTATGCCCAGTATGTACGCAGACAGAAAACTAGTATCAAATTAAAAAATGACGGTTCAAGGTAGCGGTAATCAAATTGCAAAAATGTAAACACCTATTATTGAAACCTGTAGAATGAAGTGAGTACTAGTTTACCAGGAGTTTTCAAGTTATTACATTTTTGTGTCAGAGCTTACAGTTTGAAGAACAGTAAGTATTCTATACACAAGGGATATTATAGCTGAGTAGCTGAAAAACTACTCGGTTATGCAGGATAACAGGACTAATCGTAAAGGACAAGCATAACTTGTACATTTTTTGTTGATTTTGTGATGTATCTCTTGTAATTCTTAATATTCCAATGCATTCCACTTTAACAGTATTACGATATGATACCACCAAGTCGCTTTTATATTGCTCTTAAAATTGACAGATACTTGAATTAACAAGTCTAACCGCAGAACCTTTATGTGAAGGGAACTTCAACTCATTTTTCGTAGATTTCACCACGTGCTACACAAAAGTATTACTACTAAAGAGCGTAAAGATTGGTATTCATATCCCATATTCCTTCTACACAGCTGAGTGCTTACATGTTGATTGCATAAGACACACTATTTACAATTAATTATTACCCGTCATGTCATAACACATTATAGCTATTTAATTTAGAGGCTGCTTCCTGTTTATGCATTATAAACTTCATCCTATATAATGAAATAACACCTCATGACGCTTTGAATCACGTGTAATAAATCAGAAAACCAGAGATTTCACTGATACCAAGAACAGAGAGATTACACTACGATGTAATTTCCACTTGACATTTCCCCAGCCAAGAAAATTGAAGCTTACCAGAAACACCCAACAGGAACTTTACCTTTAATTAGAGGAGCCTTACAAAAAATATGAAGTCTGTATATACATGCAATAAAAAGGAAGTAAAGAAATCATATACACATGTCAAAAATAAAATATTTACTTTATCTGCAACTTTTTTGAAAAGGCAGAATAAACTCAGGTAAACAGTTACATTAACAATTAGGTTCATAATACATAAATAAAGAGCAGCCTGTATAACCTCTAGTTGGCTCGGTTTTTAAAAAAGCTGACCAATTAGTTAGTTTTTGACACTTCCTCGCAAAAGATACGAGCTAAATACGGTACTGCAGAGTTTCTATATTTAGTAGTGCGTGCATAAAGTCTTATATACTTGATCCTGTTCTTCTCTGAGAATCGACATATAGAGAGATGACTGAAAAGGATGCTGGCCATCTGATAAAATAACTCCTGCCAGCTGTTCACATGAGTTAAGATGTTTGTTCACAACAGTTTCAGCTAGGTTTAGAAGTACACCACTAGTTTTGCTGACAATGTTCAAGGTTTTACGCAATACAGCATAGATTTTTCAGCCACCCAAAAAGGAAAAAAGGGGAGCATCAGAAGAGAATACACAAGATGCAAGAGTTTATAAAATACAAGAGAAAAGGCTGTTATACCAGATACTCTCAGATTCCTAGTGTAGCAAGGTAGGTAGAAGATTCTTTTGGAAGTTGGTAGGATATAGGAGGTCCGGCAAAGTTCCAGAGAAAAGCAATCACCGAGATATGTCATACTTGTAAGATTATCCAACATAGCAATCAGTGGAACAGGAATCACGAGGCTTAAGCAGTTCATAAGGGTTCGAGTTTGAAATCAAAGCTTACAGTCTGATACATTGAAGAATTAAGCATAAGATCATTCATGGGGGACCATCATTCAAGAAATCGTTTAGTGGGGAACAGTCCGATGAAGAGGAGACAGGTAGGGAAACCGTCAGGTTAGCATATTTGACAAAATTGATACCAGCTGAAGATGGAGTCATACAACAAGAGAAAAGATAACGGGGAAGAACAGTAACCTGAGAAATACTAGCCCCAATAAGTAGTGGAATGAGGTGCTCCCTCCAGTGGAAAGCACATTGCTTCCTTTCAGAGTATTAGAAATACAGCCGGTTAATTTTCCTGAACTCCGCTATACAGTAAAATAATCGTCAAACAAGATACTATGACGTCAGTAGACTTTAGTGAGTCACTGGTCCGGTCAGCCAATGAAAACCCGAAAACATATCTAGTTAGATGAGAAGGAACTGGAGTCAGTATAATACAAAGAATAAATACAGCAGAAATAACAATATAGCCAACCTTCAAAACAACAGATGAATCGTACACTAACAAACTAAAGGAGTTGCATTTACTCCATTGCTGCCAAAGACCGTAAACCATAAATTCCTGCTATGGGAAAATAAATCAGCAAGCCAATACTTTATGGCTACAACAAAACGGTAACAACTCTATAGATCATATCTGCTTCCTGAGTCGATTACTCTGAAACTACCTTTAGAGTGCTTTCAGGTCAGCTAACACTATACTGTTACAATGGTCATGTAGACTTCAGTTCAATGGTCATGTACACGACCGCATATCAGACAGTGAGTTACACCAGCAGTTTGCGCTGTAACACTACCTGGCAGTTCGGAACTAGGTAAATGAGTTGCGACCCGAACTAACAAGCAAAATCGGTTGAGATTGGGTACCTAATCCAGCAATCGACATCGTTACCTGAGACTTTTGTGTGCTTTAAGCCTAAGAGATTATTATTTGTGAAGTGTTGAAGATAGCTAAACTAAAAATGATCCAAGTGGATGTCTTTGGGAAATACCAATTAGCTCAGCTTCTGATGAGGGCAATTTACCGAAACCTTTGGCAAAACAGCAGGTTTCCAGGTAAATAGGTTTGAGCCATGATATAAATCGCACACAAAGCTCATAACGCGAATCCGGTCTCACAAACGCCTGTACCACAGTACCGGTCTCAACACTGTGAAAACATTTTTAAGAACGATGTTGTACTATATCGGTATGACTACACACACTCTGATAACTTCACAATAAACTCAACTTCCCTGCCCGAAATTTGATGTTGTGCCAGAGAACACCGTATAAAAACTAGTCAGAAATGAAGAAGAAGTAACAAGTACAGTAACAGCTGTATAAACAATACTTTTACCAACACATGAAGCCAATAAGCAGTCCCACTTCATAACTACGTCACTTAAGGCTTTTTGTTTGAACTCTAAACAGTAACTAACGTGTGAAAATGAAAAACATTACTAAAACTCACATGGTTGCGGATAGGCTGCTTACCGTGGAAAGCATACAACAAATAAAGTGCACATATGCGTACTAACTTGTTTTTGGGTGCAGCAGGTTGAAACAAATCAACCAATCGGTGAAATACACAACCAAGTATGTCATATAAACCGTGTTGGTTTTGTCTGCCATGAATTAAATGGATCATTTTATGCTGCTTCCAAAGCTCACTGAAATCTACAAAACGAGGACTCCCAAGATCAGAGAATTCTTCAGTGAATGCTTGTATATCTTCATCCACACCCATAATTGGGTTAAACGAAATCCGGAGACAGTAAGAGTCATACACATGACTGCACATCTAAGGAGTTACATAATCACACATTTTCATGCAATAATACTTTATTCTGTTCCTTCGCCATCGTATTGATGTACTCTCAGTCACAAGGCCAGTAATACTACGCAGACCATCCAAACAGTATTCAACATACGCGCAGCATCCACAAACAAGGCCACGGCCACAACTCTATATTCCGTAAAACGATAACAATCAAAATGAACACTTTGAAATTCGCCCTTGTGTGACAAAAACAGCTTCGGGACGCTAAGTATGAATTTTGGATAACTGTTATTGACTTTTTGCTTCTTTCCTCACGTCTTAGTTGGTGGTAACTAACAAGTTATTACCATGACCGTACAAATTGGACTAACTGAATATCCGGCGTAAATACCCAAAGGAGGCCAAATTTAAAGAGTACTAAACAAGCTTATTCACGAAGTTGTTTCCTATACATGAAATACTGATGCCGAGGGTAGTGGATGACCTACAGCAGCCGAAGTGACATATTACGGGATCCGTCTTCAAACTGGGAGTAGCAACCCAGTCCACCAAGCTGGAAACTCACAGTAAACCTTCAGCTCAAAGTAATACTACGACAGATCATTGATTATATTGTAATTTCTTTCATTACACGATGTCACTATTCAATAAGGTTTTTTGAAGGGTACATCATTTCTTTTTCGACACCTGCTTCCGAACCTTGTTATGTTGATATTTTTATGATAATGGTGTTTTTCTAGGTGGTGATTTTGGCTCCATGCGCGGCTGGAAGTGAGTGGCTTTTCGCCTTCCCCTTTGTTGGAATTACCCCGCACTAGAAGAAACTCACTGGAAATATTCCACTTATCGAAACTAGGCCTCGACAACACACACCAAGTTGCCCATTGCAAACAACTGCATGACCGTCAACATGGCCTCGAAGTGGAGGGACCAGCAGTGTCGCTGCTTCAAGGGCTAAAAAATACCAACAACCAACGATTCTTCGCTACCTCGACAACTAAATAACCTTGGACTTTCGTTTCTGTCAGCGGTTGTTCCACGGGAAATATCCTTCATGCATTCATGTGCGCGCCCGCAGTCTGTTACCCACGTATCTAGGACAGATTAGTAGGTGTCTGAATCTCGGCGAACACGAATCTTTATTTCTTTACATGTTCTATCCTTCTACTGTATTCTTCACCACTGTCTGTGTCAATCTTCATAATACTACAAGAGTGGTCCAAAGCAGTAGAGCGCAGGCCTTCACGTGGATGAAGAGATCCCTCATTGGCAGAGAAAATCAATTTCACTCCTCAAGCTGGTCCAGAATTTCCAGACAGCGACCACAGAGTAGTGTTTGGTGACTTCCGACCTTCTTCCAATATCACGTTAGCTCCCGGATCGGAATCAACAGTGACCAGACGTTATAAAAGTACTAAGCACTGGGATGAAAGGCGGTATATCAGCAGATGCCTCAACTAAAATACTCATGTCACCAGTAGCCAAACCCGTGAGTTACATGACATCTCTCGAAGCTCCACAAATTTACTTCACGACCAAATAGCCCTATCACATTCAGTGGTAGATAGAAATCCGAAACTGAATTCCATTCCAGAAACTGTTAGTAATACGATCGCTGATGGTGATTTCCACTAACGAGACCAAAGTGAGGTCTGTGGGCTGTTTGGCTGTTGTTTCGGAAGCCACTTCGTAGCTGACGATAGTGTATTAGACATATGAATACCTGGTTCATCAAACTACTTGCCGAGTAGTGTTTCCTCTACGCGGCATTAAATAAACAGCGCGGTTGAATAACCAAAAAAGACACCGCCGGACCTGAAGGAATCCCGATGCTGAGCCCAAAGCTGAATCCTAAAGACACATCAAAGAAATTTATAAATAGAGAAAAACAAGTATTACATTCTCACATCTTGAATTTAACATGGGAGAAGCTAGTTTACAGGCATCATCACATTGATACTTTTCGAAAGACTTAAAAGATTTTCGAGCTCCTCGGTGTTACAGAAGGGAGGCCATCAAACCTTAAAGCGACATCAAAAGAGTCTGCTAGCTATGGAACGGACAAGAAAATATACCTTTTCAGTGAGTACAAGGTGTTTGAGTCCACATCGTTTTCAGTCATATTTTTCACCACGGGTGTCATCAGGGTTGCGCAGTATTCCAAGTTTGCTTTACAAGCAGTCGACATGTTTGATTTGTCTCCATAGCGCCAGGTTACGCCAGACTGGCGTCTATTCTGCCACAAATTCTCATGCTTATAGCCTCGGTGACCAAAAGAGCCCACACTGACGATCGCGGGGATCGGTAGGTTTCCACATAATCATGCTTTTTAAATAAACATCTATGTCCGACCATTTTCTACACTTCAAGTAGTGTCACTCATAGTAATATAGGTATATGCCACTAGAATTAGATGTTGTAATAGAAGGAAATGAACACCCGAAGAATTGTGGACCAATGGTGATGGGTTAATATTTGTGACCAGTATTATCAAGACAATCGCACACCCCGGGAGACTGTGCATGGTGCGACGATTTATTTTCCCAACTTCCATCCCAAGAGTGGGATGTGTTCCTATGAGTGATATTAGAAATAAATTGTAGTTATTCTTGCTGCGTTTTACCTCGCCTCCTTTGCGGGGTCATTTTACTCCTGTTCATTCCTACATCTGTTTCACTTGTGGAAGCCAGATGCCGAACGCCAAACGGGATATGTCGTTCGGATCTTCCAGGTTACCATATATTTTCCCCGAGGAATATCAAGCATTTTTCTTTCCACTGGCTTTCAACTTCCCCGCTGATCCTAGGCCAGCATGTAGCGGGACTGATATACTCATTTGAAGTTGCTTATTCCAAATCAACAATTCTCTCCATTGTCGAAATCTAACCAGTATCATACTATGATCACGCCGGTAAACCAGTGCGTGCTTGTACTTACAAGAGCAAATAGGTTTCTAAGTAACCCAAGACGACAGGACCCTCCACTCGCGACAACAAAAACAGTCCACGTCGTCTTTGACGACCTGGAGAAAACGTTTGACAGTGTCTCACACAAAATCCCAGCAGAAAACTTCCTTGACAGACATAAAACAACTTTGGCTTTCTTCGTTCAAGGAACATTTAGAAAGCAGTCGGCTATGCACCAATGTTGACAGAAGACGGTTCCAGCAAAGTTCATCGAGGCCTGGGATAACCAGGCAGCAACTTCGCAGCCACTTCCGTTCCCGCTGTACACCGGTGATATCCCACAGAGAATTCCATGACCCATCCTTCCTTTTCACTGGCAACCTCAAAATTTGGAGGATGGCCGGCTAAGAAGTCAGCTGCAGATTATTACAAAAAACTTGTGGCAACCGAGGCTATGATCGTCCTGGAATGGATTGAGCTTTAATCCTGAAAAGTGCAAGGTAATGCACGCCAAGACCCATGAAGCGGCGACAATCGGACGCAAATACAAACGAGATTATCTTTTCTTCACCAAATTGTCCGCGGAAACAGACTGGTGATTCAGCTGCTCTGACACACGAGACCTCAGCTCTAATTACAAAGGAACTACAAGAAGAGTGAATATCACTCTAGAACTATCGCGCATACAGCCCTGCTTATTCAAACATGAATTATATCAGATTTTCAAACCACATGTAGGATGGCGTCTGCGAGCAATCAGTGCGGTAGCATCTCCAGCACTCCAGTTTTCCCGAAAAAACGCAAATACATGGAACAAAAAGAGTGGTCAGAATTGGAGGAAAACATATCTTCAGAAAATGAGACGCTTAAACTTGTTCACTCTGGGCTATCTAGGTGAGAAGACAGATCTTGCCATGGCTCACCAGGTCATCCATCAAGCGGGTTACGTCAGTGAAGGAAATTCGCCTGCGATGATGGAATCTCATCAGCACAGAGCGTCACACAGCCAGCATCAGGAGCCAGTCAAAATCATTTTCTTTAATAGCATGTGTAATATGAAAGGCTTTACCAAATCTTACTATTACAGCCGTCTCAGCCAACCCGCTTAATACAAGTTGAGATAATTACGCTTATTTATGTAGCCTACGGGTGACGTACTCGGGACACTAAAGACATCACTAGACCTTGAGTAGCCAAGTTCTTACGTCATCTTTGTTACCGCGTAATATCTGTTACTTCTGATTTACCTACTTCTCTATGTACTCTCCTCTCGCATCAACGCTTATCCTATCCTCTTTTTCTCACCGGGAACATACCCCATACCTATTTTCCGTATTCTACCGCTCCCATTCCCACACCTATGCAGATAGGCAGTATGAGGGACCCTAACCCGGCCTAGCAGCGCGTAGCTTCCTAGCCAACTCGACATACAAGTTGCGAATACATATTCGCGAGAAGCATCCGTCTCACTAAACCTAAAAGCAGGAAGGTGGAGATTTCCTCGTTTTCCACATGGAGTAAGCAGACCAGCGAGTGCTAAACCCCGAGAACTTGAAGTGAAGACTCGAAAATGACCAGCTTCCTACACTCTCATTATATACCCGGAATGTGTACTTCCCATCCGTGAAGTATGTCACCATTCCCCTCGTGACCAGATAAAGGGTGGTGGTCCTAAGAACAAAAAAGAAACCACGAATTTCACACAAATGTTTATAACTTCATCATACGCTTGTACATAGGTATATAACAAGTTAATACCTGGTCAAATATCCTCTAATCTTTCTATTTCGTAGTGATATCTTCAGCTTCAGGCTGACTTTCATTACTGTCGTGCGCACCTTCATCTTCTTCCACCTAAGCTTACCTCTAAACAGTTGGTTCTGGACACTTCCTCAAGTAAGTTTAATAGTCAGTACAAACTCACCCAGATGTATCATGGTCGATCTACTCCTGCGTATTTTTGTGCCCCTGTTACAAATTTCGCCTGCTGCTCGCTTTTGTTATTCACTTTTCAGATTTACTTAACCAGTCCTGCATTCAAATGGAATCCTACAAATCGCATTCGTCAGTGGGAAATATTGGCACCGAAACCTGATGACGAACGCGCACACCCCAAGGTCATGAATGTGATGCGGCCTCACCTTCAAGAATATTGGATGATTCAAACGACGACCGGATAATCTTCAAATTCGAACTGAGCCTGCTTCAACATGCCTCCTATATGCCATAAATCACAGCATCTAATGTATAGCATAACATTGTACATAATAGTCATCTCTCATTACCAAAG